CAGTAGACCCTAGTGATCTAGAATTGGTGCTTCAATAACACACATTACACATCACCTTAACATCACACATGTCCCTTTATATTTACACCTTATTGTTAGAAGATAAAGCCTTCCCTCACGTTTTGGCTTGGCTCTTTTGAGTATTTCTGTAACAATCCCCTTATTTCTTCTGAGAGAAAGGAGGAAAAGATACCAACTCAGAATCCCTTAGATTGCACAATAGGTCGTGAAGCTCTGCGCAAGCCAGAAGTAATCGTTACCATTTCATATGCATTCCTGCTTTGTCTCATACATCAAAGACCATTCGTAAAAACTATTGTGTTAATCCAGCAAAAATCCTTTAGAAGGTGGAACTCCCTCTTTTCTATGCCATTCATAATCAGTCTTAATTTAAACAAACAAACACAAAACTTCGTTTCTTGTTCACCTTTTCTGGTAGCTTTGTCGGTTTAATAATGTATCCATCCCTCCAGTGCACAAAATGATATATTTTTGACTCAGTAATCTATAAAAATTTTCTCAAGAGAAAGATGGGGGTGGAGAATGAGAATGAGAGAAAGAACCAGTCACCAATACAAAAGAGCTACTGTTATAAGAATATTATACAAGGCTAACTTCCTTTGTTTTGCAAAGAGGGAAAGGATTTTTTTCCTTTACACACACAGACACTAAGAGAACTAGCAGCCTCAGTTGTAAATCTTTAGATATAGGTCAAAAGTAAATACAGAGCACAGTTTGCTATGCCTCAGAAAATGTCACTGGTTCACTTGGGAGTAAGAAGTTCAGGGAATCAAAAAGGATCTTTTGTTACTTATGAAATGTTTAAATCTGTGACTGATCTCCATTCTACTGGGCACAGTATTATTTTTTGAATGATATTCAAACTGATGTTCAAAAATGATGTTATGTTGGTGGTCAAACAACATACGATACAGGACATATGAGAGAGATAACACAAGCTTCAAGATAAACTACAGAAAAGACAATTAACAAAAAGACAGAATGGGGATTTCATCTACCACCCAACAGATGGCTGGGCCAAATAAATCAAAATCAGATTCACTACATTTTAGTTACCAATAGAAGAATAAAAATAATAGCCACGTACAAAACAAAACAAGACTTGTTCAAGAACCAACTTAGTACAGAAACCAAAACAGACTAAGAGAAAAAAAAATGCAAAAAGAAGGTCAGCATGAGTCAGAGATTCACTTTGAGAATCAAGAAAATTGGGCCTGGGATTCAGACATATATGCACCGTACACTTTTGGGGCAAGACTCAGCCGTTGGTGGGTGAATTGACTTGGGCATCTGAGTGGAACTCCAGCTGTGAAAGAGAGGCAGACACAAAAACATTAAGAGGAGGAGGCATTTTTATATGCTAAGAATTGCAAGGGAACTAAACTTGGGACATTGGAAGATTTGAAAAATCTGACCACCACATAACAGATACAACAAATATATAAAGGGAAAAAGCAGACACAGGGTTACCAAGATTACAGATAGTCTGTTCGTGGTGGAAAATTTTCTCATGGTAGAAAATTTTCTCACGTGTTCTTCATCACTGGAAGGGTCATCCATGTCAACACTACAGTCTGATCATGGTTTCTAGTATGATCCTTCTCTTCTGCTGATTCTACATTCCACAACCCTACCACAACACTACAGTGCTTCTCAACTGAGAGCATATGGGTCAAAATTACTTTTGATGATGTTTGGTAAGGAGAATACCAGTGCCAGATAATTAAATAATATTGAAGTAGTTTTTAGTTTAAAATAGCTGCTGGGATAGGAAGATTACTCAAACTCACCTGCCCTATGATATGAAAACATTCTCTTTTGAATAGTTGTAGATAAACTTTGACAAATTCACTTTCTTTTGGATTTCCTCTCTACAGAAGGTTAATTTTATACATGCAATATGGATTCTGGCATATTCAACCTTCTTTAGAGAAGCTTATTGATATATTCAGATGATACTATATATTGAATTCTATGTACAAGTTACAATATATTTCCTATTTCAATGTATTTATCATTGAAAGAATTTCATACTGTTTGTAGAAGTGTTTTTCTAATCATCTAAAATAAGACATTTTTATATTTTATTTTTAGGGTCAAATCT